GACACCAGCACCCCCCCAGCACCGCCTGCTGTCCCCTTTCCCGGTGTCCCCTCCTTAGCGGGTGTCCCCGCCCACCCGGGGGTCCCTGCCCCACCCGGGGGTCCCCCCGGTGTCGCCCCCCGCGTCCCCCCATGGAGAACTTCCAGAAGGTGGAGAAGATCGGCGAGGGCACCTACGGCGTGGTCTACAAGGCGCGCAACAAGGTGACGGGGGAGGTGGTGGCCCTCAAGAAGATCCGCCTGGACACGTGAGTGGGGGTCCCGGGGGTCCCGGGGGGGGTCCCGGGGCTCTTGGGGGGAAATGTCACCAAGGGACCCCAGGAGTGACCTGGGGGTCTTGGAGGGGGTTTTGGGGGGTCCTGGGTGGTCCTGGGGGGAGATGTCACTGAGGAGGGGTCCCCAGGAGTGTCCTGGGGGTGTCTTGGGGGGTCCTGGGGGGTCTCTGAGGGGTCCTGGGCAGCCCCCCGTGACCAGGACGTCCCCAGGATGTGCTGAGGCCGTGCCAGGCCCTGTGGTGTCCCCGTGTCCCTGTCCCCGTGTCCCCAAGCTGTCCCTGTGTCCCCAGGCCGTGTCCCCAGGGCTGTCCCCAGGGCTGTCCCCATGTCCCCTCACCGCAGGGAGACCGAGGGTGTCCCCAGCACGGCCATCAGGGAGATCTCGCTGCTCAAGGAGCTCAACCACCCCAACATCGTCAAGTGGGTCTGGGGGCTCCGGGGTGTTCGAGTCCCTGTCCCCGTGTCCGTGTCCCCCTGTCCCAGGGCTGTCCCTGTGTCCCCAGGGCTGTCCCCGTGTCCCCAAGCTGTCCCCGTGTCCCTGTCCCCGTGTCCCCAAGCTGTCCCTGTGTCCCCAGGCCGTGTCCCCAGGGCTGTCCCCAGGGCTGTCCCCATGTCCCCAAGCTGTCCCCAAGCTGTCCCCGTGTCCCCTCAGGCTCCTGGATGTCATCCACACGGAGAACAAGCTGTACCTGGTGTCCCTGTCCCCATGTCCCCAGGCTGTCCCCGTGTCCCCAGGGCTGTCCCCGTGTCCCCAAGCTGTCCCTGTGTCCCCCCAGGCTGCTGGATGTCATCCACACGGAGAACAAGCTGTACCTGGTGTTCGAGTTCCTGCACCAGGACCTGAAGAAGTTCATGGACTCCTCGTCCCTCAGCGGGATCGCGCTGCCGCTCATCAAGGTGGGCTGGGCACCCCAAAACCGGGGGGACCCCAAAACCGGGGGGACCCCAAACCTGGGGGGACCCCAAAACCCAGGACCCCAAAACCCAGGACCCCAAAACCCAGGGGCACCCCAAAACCTGGGAGGGGACCCTAAAGCACCTGGGGAGTCCCTAAACAAACACCTGCGGGACATTGTGGAGACCCTAAAACATCTGGGGGGGACATTGGGGACCCTAAAACCCCAAGCCCACCCTGGGGGTCCCCAGAGCCACTCAGGGCTCACTCAGGGGCTGTCCCCAACGATGTCCCCAATGTCCCCAGAGAAAACCGGGGGGACCCCAAAACCTGGGGGGACCCCAAAACCTGGGGGCACCCCAAAACCGGGGGGCACCCCAAAACCGGGGGGACCCCAAACCTGGGGGCACCCCAAAACCTGGGGGGACCCCAAACCTGGGGGGACCCCAAAACCCAGGACCCCAAAACCCAGGACCCCAAAACCCAGGGGCACCCCAAAACCTGGGAGGGGACCCTAAAGCACCTGGGGAGTCCCTAAACAAACACCTGCGGGACATTGTGGAGACCCTAAAACATCTGGGGGGGACACTGGGGACCCTAAAACCCCAAGCCCACCCTGGGGGTCCCCAGAGCCACTCAGGGCTCACTCAGGGGCTGTCCCCAACGATGTCCCCAATGTCCCCAATGTCCCCAGAGTCACCTGTTCCAGCTGCTGCAGGGGCTGGCCTTCTGCCACGTGACCCCAAAACCCCAAACCCACCCAGAGCCACTCAGGAGCCACTCGAGTCTCTCTGGGGATGTCCCCAACGATGTCCCCAACGATGTCCCCGATGTCCCCAATGTCCCCAGAGCTACCTGTCCCATCTGCTGCAGGGGCTGGTTCTGGGTTCCATGACCCCAAAACCCCAAACCCACCCTGGGGGTGCCCTGGCTCACTCAGGGGACTGACCTCATTGTCCCCAATGTCCCCAACGATGTCCCCAGAGCTACCTGTTCCAGCTGCTGCAGGGCCTGGCCTTCTGCCACGCTCACCGGGTGCTGCACCGGGACCTGAAGCCGCAGAATTTGCTCATCAACGCCGAGGGCTCCATCAAGCTGGCAGACTTCGGGCTGGCCCGGGCCTTTGGGGTGCCCGTCAGGACCTACACACACGAGGTGTGGAGTTTTGGGGTCCCCATTTGGGATTTTGGGGTCCCCTTGTGGGGTTTGGGGGGGATTTAGGATCCCCAGGTGGGGTTTGGGGGTGTTTGGGGTCAAGCTGGCAGATTTTGGGCTGGCCCGGGCCTTTGGGGGGCCCGTCAGGACCTACACACACGAGGTGGGGGATTTGGGGTTCCTAGTTGGGATTTGGGGGGTTTTGGGGTCCCCAGGTGGGGTTTGGGGGCCCCATGTAGGTTTTGGGGGGATTTGGGGTTCCCATGTGGGGTTTTGGGGGGGATTTGGGGGCCCAGAACCCCTTTAGGGCTGTCCTGTCCCTGATGTCCCCAATGTCCCCTCCATGTGACGGTGGTGACCCTGTGGTACCCTAGGGGTGTCCCGGGGTTTGGGGGTGTTTGGGGTCAAGCTGGCAGATTTTGGGCTGGCCCGGGCCTTTGGGGTGCCCGTCAGGACCTACACACACGAGGTGGGGGATTTGGGGTTCCTAGTTGGGATTTGGGGGGTTTTGGGGTCCCCAGGTGGGGTTTGGGGGCCCCATGTAGGTTTTGGGGGGATTTGGGGTTCCCATGTGGGGTTTTGGGGGGGATTTGGGGGCCCAGAACCCCTTTAGGGCTGTCCTGTCCCTGATGTCCCCAATGTCCCCTCCATGTGACGGTGGTGACCCTGTGGTACCCTAGGGGTGTCCCCAATACCCCTGATGATGTCCCCAATGTCCCCAGGTGGTGACCCTGTGGTACCTTAGGGATGTTGGTGGTGATGTCCCAGTGACCCTGACGGTGTCCCTGACGGTGTCCCCGTTGTCCCCAGGTGGTGACACTCTGGTACCGCGCCCCCGAGATCCTGCTGGGCTGCAAATATTACAGCACGGCCGTGGACATCTGGAGCCTGGGCTGCATCTTCGCCGAGATGGTGAGGGACACTGGGGACACTGGGGACAACAGCAGAGCCCCCAGGGTGACACCAGAGCACCCCCAGGGTGACACCAGAGCCCATGGGTGACACCAGAGCCCCCCCGGGTCACACCAGAGCCCCCAGGGGGACACCAGAGCACCCCCAGGGTGACACCGGGGTCCCTGGGTGTGGCCGGGATGTCCCCAAACCCCCCCGGGGGTGGCTTTGGGGGGTTTCAGGTGTCCCTTGGGGTGTCCCCAGTGTCCCCAATGTCCCTGTGTCCCTGTGGTGTCCCATTGATGTCCCCAATGTCCCCACAGATCACTCGCCGCGCGCTGTTCCCCGGTGACTCCGAGATCGACCAGCTGTTCCGCATTTTCCGCACGCTGGGCACGCCGGACGAGGCCGCCTGGCCGGGGGTGTCGGCGCTGCCCGACTACAAGGCCACCTTCCCCCGCTGGGCGCGCCAGGACCTGGCCAAGGTGCTGCCGCCGCTGGACGACGAGGGCCGCAAGCTGCTGGCGGTGAGGCCGCCCGGCCCTGCTTTTTCCCCATTTTTCCTGATTTTCCCCAAATTTTCCCTGATTTTTCCCAATTTTTCCCTGATTTTTCCCAATTTTCCCCCAAATTTTTTTTTATTTTCCCACTTCTTCCTTGATTTTTCCCATTTTTCCTGATTTTTCCCACTTTTTCCTTGATTTTTCCTACTTTTTTCTAATATTTTCTTGATTTTTCCCACTTTTTCCTGATTTTTCACACTTCTTCCTTGATTTTTTTCCATTTTTTCCTTGATTTTTCCCACTTTTTCCTTTATTTTTCCTACTTTTTTCTAATATTTCCTTGATTTTTCCCACTTTTTCCTGATTTTTCCCACTTCTTCCTTGATTTTTTTCCACTTTTTCCTGATTTTTCCTAATTTTTCCCTGATTTTTCCCAATTTTCCCCCAACTTTTTTTTTATTTTTCCCACTTCTTCCTTGATTTTCCCCATTTTTTCCTGATTTTTCCCACTTTTTCCTTTATTTTTCCTACTTTTTTCTAATATTTCCTTGATTTTTCCCACTTTTTCCTGATTTTTCACACTTCTTCCTTGATTTTTTTCCATTTTTTCCTGATTTTTCCCAATTTTTCCCTGATTTTTCCTAATTTTTCCCTGATTTTTCCCAATTTTCCGCCAATTTTTTCTGATTTTCTCCACTTCTTCCTTGACTTTCCCCACTTTTTCCTGGTTTTTCCCAATTTTTCCCTGGTTTTTCCTACTTTTTCTGATTTTTTCCCCAATTTTTCCCACTTTCCCCCACTTCTTCCTAATTTTTCCCACTTCTCCCTGATTTTTCCCACTTTTCCCTCACTTTTCCCCAATTTTTTCCCATTTCCCCCCATTTTTCCCTCATTTCCCCTCATTTTTCTCCCATTTTTTCCCAGATTTCCCCCATTTTTTCCCCTTTTCCCCCCATTTTCCCCTCATTTCCCCCCATTTTTTCTCAATTTCCCCCATTTTTTGCCATTTTTCCCTCATTTCCCCTCATTTTTCTCCCATTTTTTCCCAGATTTCCCCCATTTTTTCCCCTTTTCCCCCCATTTTCCCCTCATTTCCCCTCTGATTTTCTCCACTTCTTCCTTGACTTTCCCCACTTTTTCCTGGTTTTTCCCAATTTTTCCCTGGTTTTTCCTACTTTTTCTGATTTTTTCCCCAATTTTTCCCACTTTCCCCCACTTCTTCCTAATTTTTCCCACTTCTCCCTGATTTTTCCCACTTTTTCCTCACTTTTCCCCAATTTTTTCCCATTTCCCCCCATTTTCCTCATTTCCCCCCATTTTTCCCTCATTTCCCCTCATTTTTCTCCCATTTTTTCCCAGATTTCCCCCATTTTTTCCCCTTTTCCCCCCATTTTCCCCTCATTTCCCCCCATTTTTTCTCAATTTCCCCCATTTTTTGCCATTTTTCCCTCATTTCCCCTCATTTCCCCCCCCATTTTTCCCTCATTTCCCCTCATTTTTCTCCCATTTTTTCCCAAATTTCCCCCATTTTTCCCCTTATTTCCCCCCATTTTCCCCCCATTTCCCCCCATTTTTCCCAATTTCCCCCATTTTCCCCCTCTGAGGGCAGGGCGGGACCCCCCGGCGGGGATTTGGGGAGGGGGCTCCGGGCCTGAGGGGCCCGCCGCGTCCCGGGGGTCCGGGCTGGAATCCCCCGGAGGGGTCGGGATCGGCCGGGTTGGGGTTGGGGGGAGCGGTGGGAGGGGGAGCCCCCATTTGGGGCGGGGGGTTCGGCCCCCTCCTCATTATCGGGGTTTTTCTCTGGTTTAGATTTTTTTCCCCACCCCGTTCTCCATTATTGGGGCTTTCCCCCTATTTTGAGGGTGTTTTTCTGTTCTTTCCCCGTTGTTGGGATTTTTCTCCTATTTTAGGATTGTTTTCCTGTGCTTTCCCCATTATTGGGGTTTTTCCCCCTATTTTGGGGCTGGTTTTCTGCTCCCTCCCCAATGTTGGGATTTTTGTGCTATTTTAGGGATGGTTTTCTGTGCTTTCCCCATTATTGGGATTTTTCTCCTATTTTAGGGCTGATTTTCTGCCCCTTCCCCATTATTGGGGTTTCCCCCTATTTTGGGGGTGTTTTTCTGTTCTTTCCCCATTATTGGGGTTTTTCCTTGCTGCTTTAGGTTATTTTTTCCCATCTCTTCCCCATTACTGGGATTTTCTCCTATTTTGGGGTTTTTTTCCCACCTCACTCTCCATTATTGGGATTTTCCTCCTGTTTAGGGTTTTTTTCCCCCACCCTCTCCCCATTATTGGGGTTTATCCCTATTTTGGGAATGTTTTCCTCACAGTTTTGGGGTTTTTCCCCCTCATTATGGAGGGTTCTGATCCCCCCCTGGGATTTGGGATTGCTCAGAGTTTGGGATTCCCTGGGGTTTGGGATTGCTCAGAGTTTGGGGTCCCCTGGTGCCCAGCCCGTCCCGTCCCAGGGGTTGATCCCGTGTGGGTGATCCCATCCCAGGGCTGATCCCAGAGGGTTCTCCTGGAGTTCTCACCTGTCCCAGCAGGGTCCCCCATCCCGTGCGAGCTGGGTGATCCCAGTGCCCTGACCCCATCCCAGTTGGGTTATCCCATCCCAGTTGGGTTGATCCCATCCCAGTTGGGTTATCCCAGTGCCCTGACCCCATCCCAGCTGGGTTCACCCCATCCCAGTTTGGTTATCCCAGTTGGATTGATCCCATCCCAGCTGGATTGACCCCATCCCAGTTGGGTTATCCCAGTTGGGTTTATGCCATCCCAGTTGGGTTGATCCCATCCCAGTTGGGTTATTCCAGTACTCTGACCCCATCCCAGTTGGATTGATCCCATCCCAGTTGGGTTGATCCCATCCCAGTTGGGTTGTCCTGAAGGGATCTGGGGGGGATTTGAGGGGGTCCTGAAGGGTTTTGGGGGCATTTAAGGGGGTTTTGGGGGGTGGTTTGAGGGGTACAACCCAGGCTGCCATCGTGGTCTGTGACATCACCAACCAGGTCTGGGGGGTCTGGGGGGGATTTGGAGCAAATGTGGGGGACTCGGGGTTCTGAGGGATCTCAGGGGATGTGGGGAGGGGTCTCAGGTTATTTGAGGAGGGGTCTCACGGTGCCAATCCCCTCTCCCAGGAGACGTTTGCCCGTGCCTGGGGTTGGGTAAAGGAGCTGCAGGGGGGTCTGAGGATCTCAGGGCTCTAAGGATTTTTGAGGAGGGGTCTCAGGGGATTTGAGGAGGGGCATTTGGGGACAGGTCTCAGGGATTTGGGGAGGGGTCTCAGGGGGTTTGAGGAGGGGTCTCATGGTGCCAATCCCATGCCAGGAGACGTTTGCCCAAGGCTGGGTGAAGGAGCTGCAGGGGATCTCAGAGGAGGGATTTTGAGGAGGGATCTCAGGGGATTTTTGAGGAGGGGTCTCACGGTGCCAATCCCATGCCAGGAGACGTTTGCCCAAGGCTGGGTGAAGGAGCTGCAGGGGATCTCAGAGGAGGGATTTTGAGGAGGGATCTCAGGGGATTTTTGAGGAGGGGTCTCAGGGGTCTCAGGGGATGTGGGGAGGGGTCTCACACTATTTGAGGAGGGGTCTCACGGTGCCAATCCCCTCCCAGGAGACGTTTGCCCGGGCCCGGGGCTGGGTGAAGGAGCTGCAGCGCCAGGCCAGCCCCAGCATCGTCATCGCCCTGGCCGGGAACAAGGCGGACCTGGCCAGCAAGAGGATGGTGGAGTACGAGGTAGGGGGGGGATTTGGGGATTTTGGGGGAATTTGGGGAATTTTTGGGAATTTTTTTGGGATTTTGGGGGGAATTTTGGGTGGATTTGGGGATTTTTTGGGGGATTTTGTGATTTTTTGGGGAATTTTTCGGGGCTTTTGGGGATTTTTTGGGGGATTTTTTGGGAATTTTGGGGGGATTGGGGGATTTTTTTTTTAATTTTTGAGGGATTTGGGGATTTTTTTGTGACTTTTTGGGGAATTTTGGGATTTTTGGGGGATTTGGGGATTTTGGGGATTTTTTTTTTATTTTTGAGGGTTTTGGCATTTGGGATCTGTCTCTGGATAGGCAGAGAGGGGATTTAGGGATCCTGGAATTTCCTTTTTTATGGGAAAAAGCTCTTGGGGTCTGGGTGGGATTGGGATGAGGCTGCAGGGGATTCCCAAAGGTCAGTCCGGGCGGTTTTTTGGGATTTTTGGGATTTTGGGGATTTTTTGGGTTTGGGATTTGTCTCTGGGTAGGCAGAGAGGGGATTTAGGGATCCTGGAATCGGACCACCGAGCCAGGTGGGGTCGGGATGAGGCTCTGGGGTCATCCCAAAGGGATTTTTGGGATTTGGGATCTTTGGGGTTTGGGGATTTGCCCCTGGATCAGCTCCAGAGGGAATTCTCAGAGGAGGGATTTTGAGGAGGGGTCTCAGGGGATTTTTGAGGAGGGGTCTCAGCGGATTTGGGGAGGGGTCTCACACTATTTGAGGAGGGGTCTCACGGTGCCAATCCCCTCCCAGGAGACGTTTGCCCGGGCCCGGGGCTGGGTGAAGGAGCTGCAGCGCCAGGCCAGCCCCAGCATCGTCATCGCCCTGGCCGGGAACAAGGCGGACCTGGCCAGCAAGAGGATGGTGGAGTACGAGGTAGGGGGGGGATTTGGGGATTTTGGGGGAATTTGGGGAATTTTTGGGAATTTTTTTGGGATTATGGGGGGAATTTTTGGGGAATTTTGGGTGGATTTGGGGATTTTTTGGGGGATTTTTTGGGAATTTTGGGGGGATTGGGGGATTTTTTTTTTAATTTTTGAGGGATTTGGGGATTTTTTTGGGACTTTTTGGGGAATTTTGGGATTTTTGGGGGATTTGGGGATTTTGGGGATTTTTTTTTTTGGAACGTACTGGGATTTTTTTTGGGAATTTACAGGGTGGTTTTGATAAATTTTTGGAGATTTTTTAAAATTTCCAGTGGGTTTTTTAAGGGAATTTCGGGGGTTATTTTTTGGAATTTTTGGGTTTTTTTGGGAATTTCTGGGGTCGTTTTTCAGGAATTTCTGGGAGTGTTTTTCAGGAATTTCTGGGGTTTTTTTTCTTGGTGGTTTCTGGGAGTTTTTTTAGAGAATTTCTGGGGTTGTTTTTTGGAATTTCTGGAAGGATTTTTAGGAATTTCTGGGGTTTTTTTTGCAAATTTCTGGGGTCGTTTTTCAGGAATTTCTGGGAGTGTTTTTCAGGAATTTCTGGGGTTTTTTTTCTTGGTGGTTTCTGGGAGTTTTTTTAGAGAATTTCTGGGGTTGTTTTTTGGAATTTCTGGAAGGATTTTTAGGAATTTCTGGGGTTTTTTTTGCAAATTTCTGGGGTCGTTTTTCAGGAATTTCTGGGAGTGTTTTTCAGGAATTTCTGGGGTTTTTTTTCTTGGTGGTTTCTGGGAGTTTTTTTAGAGAATTTCTGGGGTTGTTTTTTGGAATTTCTGGAAGGATTTTTAGGAATTTCTGGGGTTTTTTTTGCAAATTTCTGGGGTCGTTTTTCAGGAATTTCTGGGAGTTGTTTTTTGGAATTTTGGGGGTTGTTTTTGGGGGGAATTTGGGGGTTTTTGCTGAGTTTTTTGGCCTGCAGGAAGCCCAGGCCTACGCTGATGACAACAGCCTGCTCTTCATGGAGACCTCGGCCAAGACAGCCATGAATGTCAACGACCTCTTCCTGGCCATCGGTGGGTCTGGGGGCTTCGGGGGGCAAGCAGGGGCCTGGGGGGCTTTGGGGGTCCTGAGGGGTTTTGGGGATTCTGAGGGAGCTCACGAGGATTTGAGGAGGGGTCTCAGGAGGGTTTTGGGGGTTCTGAGGGGTTTTGGGGTTCCCATTTCCAAATCAATCATCCAGAATCATCTCAAACCATCCCAAATCCCCCCAAACCAACCCAAACCATCTCAAATCATGTTAAATTACCCCAAATCCCCCCAAACCATCCCAAATGATTCCAAACCACCCCAAATTATTCAAAACCATCCTAAATCACCCCAAATCGTCCCCAAATCATCCCAAACCATTCCAAATAACCCCAAATGCTCCTCAGTGACCCCAAACCATCTCAAATTATTCCAAACCATCCAAAGTCACCTTAAATCACCCCAAACCACCCCAAAGCATCCCAAATAATGTTAAATAACCCCAAATGATGTCAAATGACCCGAAACCATTCCAAATAATCCCACACCATCCCAAATCACCTCAAACTAACCCAAATCCCCCCAAAACCATCCCAAACCATCCCAAACCGTCCCACACCATCCCAAATCACCTTAACTGACCCCAACCGACCCCAAATGACCCCAAACAACCCCAAACTGATCCCCAATTCCCCGTTCCAGCCAAGAAGCTGCCAAAGACGGAGCCGCAGAGCACGGGCGGGGCCGGGGGCCGGGGCCGGGGCGTGGACCTGAGCGAGCAGAGCCCGCCGGGCCGCGGGCAGTGCTGCAGCAACTGAGGGGTCCAGGGGATCCAATGGGATCCAGTGGGATCACAGCCCAAATCCAGCCAGGATTCAGCTGGGATCGAACCCAGATCCAGCCAGGACTGAACCCAGCTCCAGCCCGCCGGGCCGCGGGCAGTGCTGCACCAACTGAGGGATCCAATGGGATCTGCTGGGATCCACTGGGAACACAGCTGGGATCCCGGCCCAAACCCAGCCAGGATCCAGCCAGATTGAACCCAGATCCAGCCAGGATCCACTGGGATCGACCCGGGATCACAGCTGGGGTCCACCAGGACTGAACCCGAAGCCAGCCAGGACTGAACCCGGCTCGAGCCCGCAGAGCTGTGGGTGGTGCTGCAGTGACTGAGGGATCTGCTGGGATCCATCCCAGATCCAACTGGGATCACAGCCCCAGCCCAGCCAGGATCCACTGGGATCGACCCGGGATCACAGCTGGGATCCACCAGGATTGAACCAGATCCAGCCACGGGGCTGGGGCTGCAGCAGCTGAGGGATCCACGGGATCCAGCCCAGATCCCAGCTCCATCTCTGCCCTGGGACTCTCCCCGAGCTCTCCCGGCACTTTTTGAAGCTTCCAAGGCTCCACCTCGGCACCAGATCCCTCCCGGATCCACCAGATCCCTCCTGGACCTTCCAGATCTCACACAGATTCTTCAGATCCCTCCTGGATCCTCCAGACTCCTCTTGGCTCCACCAGATCCCTCCTGGATCCTCCAGATCTCACACAGATCCTCCCGACTCAACAAGGACCCACGAGATCCCCCCTGGCTCCTTCAGGCCCCACTTGGATCCCCCAGATCCCACCTGGACCTTCCGGATCTCACACGCATTCTTCAGATCCCTCTTGGATCCTCCAGGCTCCTCCAGATCTCACACAGATACTCCAGACCCCTCCTGGCTCCACCAGATCCCTCCTGGATCCCCTAGATCCCACACGGATGCTCCAGACTCCACCTGGATCCTTCAGATCCTTCTTGGATACTCCAGACTCCTCCTGCCTCCATCAGATCCCTCCTGGATCCTCCAGATCTCTCTTGGATCCTCCAGACTCCACCTGGATCCACCGGACCCCTCCTGGATCCTCCAGATCTCACAGAGATCCTCCAGACTCTACCAGGATTCTCCAGATCCCTCCTGGATCCTCCAGATCTCTCTTGGACCAAGGACCCCCCGGATCCCCCCGGATCCCGAGGTCGGGGGTCCCGGGGCCCTGTGGGGTTTGGGGGTTCCCCTGGGACAGGAGCTGCGGGGAGCCACCGGTGCTGGGGACACCGAGGGGACACTGGGGACATCTGGGGACACTGAGGGGACACCGAGGGGACACCGAGGGACACTGGGGACATTTGGGGACACTGAGGGGACATCCCCTGGGTGCTCCCAGTGCTGACCTCGATGTCCCTTCAGGGATCCCAGTGGTGTCCCCAGTGTCCCCAGGTGATCCCAGCCATGGTCACCACCCCTGGGATGTCACCTCCACCAGATCCCTCCAGGATCCCCCAGACTCCACCTGGATCCTCCAGATCCCTCCTGGATCCACCGGACCCCTCCTGGCTCCCCCCAGCCCCTGGTGGATCCCGCAGATCCCGACCGCTTGGATCCTCCAGACTCCACCTGGATCCACCGGACCCCTCCTGGATCCTCCAGATCTCACAGAGATCCTCCAGACTCTACCAGGATTCTCCAGATCCCTCCTGGATCCTCCAGATCTCTCTTGGATCCTCCAGACTCCACCTGGATCCACCGGACCCCTCCTGGCTCCCCCCAGCCCCTGGTGGATCCCGCAGATCCCGACCGGACTCCCGGGGACCCCGCGGGGCCTCGGACACTCGGACACCTCCGGACCCCCCCCGGACCCCCAAGGACCCCCAAGGACCCCCCGGATCCCCCCGGATCCCGAGGTCGGGGGTCCCGGGGCCCTGTGGGGTTTGGGGGTTCCCCTGGGACAGGAGCTGCGGGGAGCCACCGGTGCTGGGGACACCGAGGGGACACTGGGGACATCTGGGGACACTGAGGGGACACCGAGGGGACACCGAGGGACACTGGGGACATTTGGGGACACTGAGGGGACATCCCCTGGGTGCTCCCAGTGCTGACCTCGATGTCCCTTCAGGGATCCCAGTGGTGTCCCCAGTGTCCCCAGGTGATCCCAGCCATGGTCACCACCCCTGGGATGTCACCCCAGGTGGTCCCAAAGGTGTCCCCAATGTCCCCTCAGTGATGTCCTCGATGTCCCCAGGTGATCCTGGCCCCCAGGTGACATCCCCGGGTGGTCCCAGTGGTGTCCCCAATGTCCCCCGGGTGGTCCCAGTGGTGTCCCCAATGTCCCCTCAGTGGTGTCCCCAATGTCCCCCAGGTGTCCCAGCCATGGTGGCCCCGATGTCCCCAGGTGATCCCAAAGGTGGCCATGATGTCCCCCGGTGTCCCAGCCATGGCCACCCCCCCGTCCCCCCCACAGTGTCCCCAGTTTGTCCCTGTCCCCCCCAGGCCCCCCTCTTTGCACTTTATGCTCCAGCGTCCCCGGGGTGGCACTGAGGGGACAGCGGTGACAGTGCCACCCCTGCCCTTGTCCTTGTCCCCGCTGGGGCCTCGGTGTCCCCACCCTGTCCAGGGGACAGCCGGGGTGCTGCCAGCCCAGTGGGGACACCCGAGTTGGGGACACCCCGAGGTGGGGACACCCCGAGGTGGGGACACCCTGAGGTGGTGGCACCTCAACTTGGGGACACCCCGAGGTGGGGACACCCCAGATTTGGGACACCCTGAGTTTGGGACACCCCGAATTTGGGGACACCCCGAGGTGGTGGCACCTCAGCATTTGGGGACACCCCGGGTTGGGGACACCCAGAATTGTCCCCCAGGCACGGGGGGTGGCGGCTGTGGGGCGGAGGGACCCGGTCCTGTATGAAGCCCCTGGGGACACCCTGGGGACATTCCTGGGGACACCCTGGGGACATTCCCGGTGCTCCGGAGCCTCTGGACTTGGTGACATCGCTGTCCCCAGGGTGGGGACAGAGCCCGCAGGGTCCTGGCCTTGTCCCCGCCCTGGGGACACCTCGGGGACACTCCCAGGGCCACTCCCAAGGCCATTCCCAAGGCCATTCCCAGGGCCATTCCCAGGGCCATTCCCAGGGCCACCTCGGTGCCACTCCCAGGGACACCTCGGGGACATCTTGGGGACACTCCCAGGGCCACTCCCAAGGCCACCTCGGGGACACCTCGGGGCCATTCCCGGTGCCACCTCGGGGACATTTCCGGGGCTGCCTTGGGGCCACCTTGGGGACACCTTGGGGACACTCCCGGTGCTCCAGAGCCTCTGGACTTGGTGACATCGCTGTCCCCAGGGTGGTGTCCCCATGTCCCAGCCCTGGACCAGACGGGGACACCGCAGCTCCTGCTCCCTTTATTTCCTTTTTTTCCCTTTTATTTCCTTTTTTTCCCTTTATTTTCCCCTTTTTTTCCTTTATTTTCCCTTTTCCCCCCCTTTTTTTCCTTTTTATCCCTTTATTTTTCCTTTCCCCCTTTATTTTCTCTTTATTTTCCCTTTTTTCCCCTTTTCTCCCCTTTTTTTCCCTTTTCCCGTCAGATTTTCTTTCTCTTTTCGGTTCATTTCCGTTTTTTCCCCCTCGCTTTGGGAATCTCCTCCCTCGCCGTGAAATAACAATCGTGGTAACCACACCCTCGGGTCGCTGATTTACCCGTGTATTTAATGTAAAGTAAAAAAAAAAACAACAACAAGGACAAAAAAAAACCAGGGAAAAAAATCCCAAAAAAGCGACAATTCCCGATTTTTGTGTGCTCAGGGAGGGGACGGGCGACACCCGGTGCCAGCAGCCGCTGCCAGATCGCGGCCCTGCCCTGATAACGCTTATCAGAGTTCACAGCTGCCTGGCGGCTCCTGGGTTTTGCCGGTTTTTTCCCTTTTTTCCCCGTTTTTCCCCCAAATTCCGGGGGAATTTCGGGGGGCGCTGCCCCTTTAAATCCGCGTGGCCGCTTTAAGACCCCCGTGGCGCTTCCCGTGGTGTTGCCGCTTTAAGCGGGCGCCGGTGGGGCCCACCCTGAGCGAGGCCACGCCCACTTGGCCCCCGTTAAAGTAAACAGAGGGGCGTGGCTCCGTTCAGCGAGGCCACGCCCATCGCCCCCCTCTTAAAGCGGCCGCGCCCGCGGGGACATCGCGGGACCGGAACCGTTACGCAGGTGCGCGGCGGCGACAACCGGGAGCGGCGACAGCCGGGAGAGGGGACAGCGGGGACGGGAACCGGGGGTGGGAACGGCGCGGGAAAACCGGGATCGGCGTGGGGCTTGAGGGGAGGGAGAAGCGGGACCGCGCTGCGGCTGGGGGGAAACAACGGGGAGCGGGGGAGGTTCGGGGACAAGCGGGACCGGCCTGGGCCTGCGGCGGGGACAACCGGGACCGGGACGGGACAACCGGGACCGGGATGGGGAGGGGAGAACCGGGACCGGGCTGGGAACAACCGGGACCGGGATGGGCTGGGGACAACCGCGACTGGATCGGGCTGGGGACACCGGGACCGGAATGGCGCTGGGGGAGGAGACAACGGGGACCGACCGGGTTGGGGACAACCGGGACCGGACTGGGGACAACCGGGACCGACCGGGCTGGGACTGGCTGGGGACACAACGGGCCCGGTTGCGCTCGTGTCGCAGCAGAGGTCCCTGACTGTCGCTTTCCCCGGCAGCGCTACCGGCGCCGTTTCCCGGTGCCGGTGCCCGTTCCAGCCGCCGCCGCCGCCGCGATGCTGCTGCTCCGGGCCATGGCCGGCCGCAGGTAGGAACGGCCCCGCGGGGCTCCCGGTGCCCCCCCGGTGCCCCGGGGCCGCTGTGACCCCGCTGTCCCCGCAGGCTCCCGCCGCTGATGCGGCTGCCCCGCCGCTGCTCCCGGCTGGCCGCCGGTACCGGGGCACCGGAGGGACACCGGGAAGCGACACCGGGGGGAGCGACACCGGGGGGACAGCGGGGAGAGGCCCCCGGGGGACGCCGGGGAGCGGCCCCGGTGCTGGCGGCGCTGCTCGGGCTCGGCGCCGCGCTGGCCTACGGGGAGCGGCAGCGGAGGGTGAGCGACACCGCGGGCGGTGGCACCGGGGGTGGCACCGGGGGGGCGGTGACACTTCGGGGTCCTTCCCCGTGACACCGGAGGGGGGTGGAGCCCGGCGGGAGGCGGCGCCCGAGGGGCGGATCCCGGTGAGAGGTGACACCGGGACAGCGGGAACGGGGGGGTGGCACCGGGACAGGGACATCCTGGAGGCGGGGTGGCACCGGGACAGCGGGAACCCAGAACGGCGGTGGCACCGGGGGAAGGGTCCCGGGGCGGGGGGGACACCGGGACAGGGGTGACACCGGGATTCCGGGCACGGTGACACCGGGACAAGGATCCCGGGGCAGAGGGTGACACCGGGACAGCGGGATCCCGGGGGAGGAGTGACACCGGGACAAGGATCCGGGGGAGGAGTGACACCGGGATCCCGGGGAGGAGGTGACACCGGGTCGGGGGTGACACCGGGACAGGGAGATCCCGGGCAGGGGTGACACCGGGACAAGGGTGACACCAGGACGCGGATAATACCGGGACAGGGAAATCCCGGGCAGGGGTGACACCAGGACCTCGGGTCGGGGGTGACACCGGGCAGGAGTGACACCGGGATCCCGGCCAGGGTGACATCGAGACAGGGGGATCCTGGATCGGGGGTGACACCGGGACAGGGGGATCCCGGGCAGGGTAACACCGGGACGGGGATGACAACGGGACAGGGAGATCCTGGGCAGGGATGACACCAGGACCCCGGGTCGGGGGTGACACCGGGCAGGGTGACACCGGGATCCCGGCCAGGGTGACACCGGGACGGGGATGACAACGGGACGGGGAGATCCCGGGCAGGGGTGACACCAGGACCGCGGGTCGGGGGTGGCACCGGTCCACCGGGATCCCGGTGCCCGGGGGGGGTCCCGCTGACGCCCCCGCTGCCCGCAGACCGCGCAGGCCGCCCGCGCCAGCCCCGCCGCGCCGTTCC